GTATAGTCCAGTTTTTTATGCTGATTCTGAATATACTATTTTCTTGGATTTTAAATTTATATTTGTGGTACTATTTTACTGTTGAATAATGAACATAATTTTCCACAATAGTAGTAGTAGTAGTACTACTACTACTAGTAGTAGTACTAGAACTAGAACATAATTTCAATAGTATTAGTAGTACGTAGTAGTAGTACTAATATGATTTTCTCTTTTTTTCTCGCACATTTTCGTGATGCACAAAAATTCGATGCGCTCCCCTCTGAATTATGAACCCTGATTGAAGTACCGTACTGTATCGTACTGTACGTCCTCTCTGGAGAGCGCCCGATTCCAGGTCTAATCAGTCCCGTTTGACTAAAACTCAACAGATAATGCGCAATGTGATCGCGCACGCGACCTCAATTTCGTATGAAATAGCCGTAACCTATTTAAGGGGCATAGCCTCTTTCAATTTGTGTGGGAGACTCACAGTGATAAAAATAATCTAACTTCGCCGATAATAAAATTTTATTACGCCGTTAATAAAATTTTACTAAGCTGTTAATAAAATTTTATTATTGTTTTATTATGCTGATAATAAAATTTTATTAATAGATGTTTTTAAATGCGTCATCGTGGAATGGTCTTCTTGCACAACGCGCCGGCCAGGTACTTTAATCGTGAGGAATTGCTTTAACACGGTGTAGTACGTAAAAACTGAAGAAGTTTACTAAAAAGCTCACGTTAATCGTCCTGCTTCAAATAGTACTACTACTACTACTAGCTAGTATCATCCTTGACGCGTTATTCCAGCACCATCATAAATCAAAGCAGCAATAACCACCAATAGCTACCAAGCGACAAGAAGAAGCAGTTGCTCAATGGCAAGGACTCTTGGATCAAAGAGCAGAATAAGAAAAGGACAGTCGCCAGAGACATCGTATCAAAATCTATCGGCTATTGAGCAGCTTGTAGTGTACTTCTACTGGATCTACATCAAGACAGGGGGAACTGAAGGTTGGGATAACAAAAGATCTGGTTCAACAGAGCACTGGAGACATTACAAAGTAATACACGAGAATTGGAAGTCGGCTTCTACATTCTATAATCGAGCAAAGGTAAGTGCTGGCGGATGCTTCTTGCTGCCGTGGCCCTGGCGGAATGTGTTCTAAACGTTTGTTTGCTGACTACTAGAAATTAAATCTTCTTGCAGAAGAGCTGATCAAAATCAACTACACAATTGAAGAGCCAACTGTTGAAGGAATTCCCAGAACACCATCCACCGTTCTTGCTACTACTGCTGCAACCACTGCCACAACTACGTCGCCTTTTCCTGCCAACGAAGAGCGACCGTCTGATTGTGTAGCGCGCTTCTTTTCATCCCCACCACCACTCTTTTCATCCCCACCACCACAACCAAGCTTATCTTTGCCCCAAAAAACACCTCCGGTCTTCTCCCCACCTCCGGTCTTCTCCCCCCCACCTCCAGTGATCTCACCAGTCTTCTCCCCAAGACACAACAAAGCAATGCCTGTCAGTGCCACCCCCTCCTCCGCAAAGAAGAAGCCTGCGATTCCTCCATCCCTCCAGGCCAATTCCGTTGATGATCTTGTCAACGCTGCAAACAGCATGTCTCTTGAAGATGGAAGCCATGTTCGGATCTTGGGAAGTGCCTATCCCACCATCATAGGAACTTGGGACTCACAGGATACCAATGACGATGATTCCTCTGATGAAGATTATGAAGACCAAGTCTTCACCATGATCAGAATGATCATGCACAACGCCATTCATGCTGATCTCATCATCCCTGAGTGGCTTGATCCCGTCAATCTTCAGCTCACCATTCGCTGGCCCAAGTGGTTCAAGAAGGTCTCCAGGCATGTTGCAATTCAAGAGGGACAGAAGCACCAGTTTGATGGGAAGCATGCTGTCATTAGAACTATGAGACGCTATCTCAAAAACCTCTACAAGAAAGATGATTTTGGTCAGCCGTTGAAGCAAAAGATCATCGACAACAGCATTGTCATCCAGTTTGCAACGCCCATGTGTACTGATAAGGATGCTGTTCAAGTGGACGTCATAGATATCAGTGTAACTGAAGCAGACCTTGACAAGGCGATTGGAGAGACCCTTCCACCAGGGAAAGTAATCAAGGTCCTTCAAATAATTGCTGAAGCTGATATTGGATCAAAGAAGATGAACAAGCGCATCCATGTTGGGGGACGTGCTGCAAATCTAGGTAAGGAACCAAGTGGCAAAAAGATTGGTGACGACTTGCAGCACCAGCAGGAGAAAAAGGAAAAGAAGCTTGCTCCTCCTGCGGCGCAACAAAAGACGTCCGACATTGTACCATTTGTCCCTGCTGCTGCAGACGCGATGGATGAAAGACCATATTCCCGTAAAAGACACCGAAGAACTCACCAAAAGACACCGAAGAACTCACCATGTAATTCCCCCTCATGATAATGTCACAGGCAACAAAATAGGAGGAGGAGATACCCCCATGGACAAATGACTGCTGAAAGAAGAACAAGCAACTCCTTCGGTTGCAAGCTGTGAGTCTACTAATGATTCATTTGAATCAGACGACGATCTTGATCCAGTGGCAACACTGGAAAGGGGGATCGAAGAATTGCAGTCGGAATTGTTGAAGTTCAACGGCAGCGGTGGATGCCAGAACTAGCCGCAACAACAGAAGAATAGTAGTAGTGTAGAGGAATCACAAAATAGTAACACGAAACATAATCAATATTTCTTTTGCGGAGGGAGCCCAATGCTAGTAGTAGTAGCGTCAATGGAGAACGCCAGCAATGTAGGCGTTTGTTTGCTTCGACCAAGAGTGCTCTTGTTGTCAAGTGGGCTTGCGGATGAAAAAATTTGGGTTGAAGTCAATAGACTCCGTAGGATTTTGAACGAGCAATCAAAACCAATCGATTTTGAGCAAAACTGACAGTATACTGCCTTGATTTGCATATTTTCTACAGCGTTTGTACACAGCTTTTGTACTACAGATCTCCGAAAAGACCAAATACTTCGCTTAGCAGCTGGATCAGCATGCTGATGAAAAAATTTGGGTTGAAGTCAATAGACTCCATAGGATTTTGAACGAGCAATCAAAACCAATCAATTTTGAGCAAAACTGACAGTATACTGCCTTGATTTGCATATTTTCTACGGCGTTTGTACACAGCTTTTGTACTACAGATCTCCGAAAAGACCAAATACTTTGCTTAGAAGCTGGATCAGCATCTGGCCTGCTGGCGTGCAACTGCTATTGGGTGCTGCCACTAGGCTCCAGTAGGATTTTGAACGTGTGATATAAACCAATAAATTCGCAAACGCTGTATAAACCTGCAAACACGCACAATCACTGTATCAACACGACGACTGTCGGAATCAAACACCATGGGCAACAGCCTAGAACTGAGACCTCTAGAACAGCATGAGATGTAGGAGTAGTAGAAATAGGGCTAATGTAATGGTTAGCAGATGCGGATGGAGGCATTGTTAGCCAAGATCCCTCCTTTTTTGTTTGTTGTTGCTAGGTATATCAGACATCGTAGTCGACGTGATACAGCCCCCCTTCATGCTCGAGCTTCAACTGAGTGATTACTGCAACGGCTGCAAAGCACATTCCATGCTTTCCTATCATTGTGTTCCTGTCCCTGCCTTCAGTGTGATGAAAAGAAGCATTCAGCACATTGAATATCTTCAGTCTCCCATTCACATTTTCATGTCGGCCCCGAATGATTGACTTTTCTTTTCTTTGCTTGCTGTCTATCCCCTGGTTTGGCGTCTTTCCCTTTATTGTTCCCCTCAGCCCACTATCAGCTTCCACCATTTCCCAGTCTTCAAGTCGGGTTGCAAGCTCAGAATCAAAGATGCGTTTCTCAGAAGTCCCACCAGGAAAGGGACCATTAATCCAAACAATATAACTGGTTTCGATACAAATTCCAACTTCGTATCGTATTGCTGGACCGTTGAACTTCTCTGAGTACATGTCAGTGCTAAACGGATGGGGTTCATAGCAAGGACAGTCTGTCCAGTCTACGGATATCATACATTCAGCTTTAGGCAAGTACTCACCACTTGACGATTGAGGTTGACCGAGGAACCTGTTATCCCAAACAATCACATCTGACTGAAGCTCAAAGATCTTCCTCACAAAGTACCAGGACCACTTCCTGAAGGTATCACTGTGGGGCCATCCGACTATTGAACAGTTGACCTCTTCTGATGTTGCATATACTTTGAGGAATAAGAGCGCCCACAAAAGGTGTTTCGGCTCAGCACCAGCTTCATCGACTGAAGCCTCAACACGATTCCATAGATCAGCAATTACTATGCTTGAAGCACCAAATAGGCTAGCTATGCGGCGATCCTTACTCCTGTTCCATTCCCTACTATCAGGCCATTGAATGGTCACTCGTATGATGTCTTCAATGATTTCTGCGTCCATCATAGTAGTTGTTGCAATGCCGAAGTCTTTGCGTATGGAGCTGCTGTTCTTTTTGCTGCTGCCGCATCCGCACTGTACTAACAACAAGCTGCTTTTGCTGATGGGTACGTACTTGTAGTAGACCCCAGTAAAATTTTGAACTCACGATAGACCAAGCTGGCCTGATCTCTACCGGTTTTAGTACTAATTATACGTAAGTACATGTTTTCATTAAGTCAATAGTAATAAAATTTTATTAACGTTTTATTAACTCAATAATAAAATTTTATTAACGCAATAATAAAAATGACTTCGCCGATAATAAAATTCTATTTAACGGACACCTCCAAAGAATATGGCCTTGATAACCCCTATGCTAAAGAACCATTCGATTGAAGCAATGACCGTTATTTTGAAGGAATTCCGTTAAAAAATCGCGCGCAATAGCGCGAAAACTGAAAATTCTCCCATTCGGGCCCTCTCCTGCGGGGTGACCAATTATGAGTCGTGCCAKAAAGGAATTTTGTCGACCAAGTCAAGAGTAAAAAAAGTGGGCAGAAACGGAAGACGTCCGATAAAGTTGAAAATACGATGTAGCAGTTGAATGCATCGGTGATTGGTGGTTGATGAGTATTTTTCGCTCATGTTCAGACCAATATCGTACAGTACTTAATACCACACCTTCAACATCCACGAAGGCAACAGGAGAAGAGGAGGAGGAGTCGTAAACAAACTCACCTCAGATCACCGAAAACAAACCYATATTCATTGCGCCTTTCTGGTTTGTTCCACACAACATGTCTAACAGCAACCAACGCCCACCCAAAAAATGGCTGATGGATCGGATTACAGGCCAGTCCAAGTACAATGATCGCGAACGTCCACCTGCTCCCTGTTGCTGGGTTCCTCCATGCGTGGCRTGGTTTCCCGAGCTCTTGGAAACGAACGGTTGCTGCAAAATTTTTGGAGGAATGGGCGTTAGCACCGAAGAATCCTTTCGAATGCTGTGTCTCCATATGGGCTTTGTGGCGAATATTGGGGCTATGATTTTGACTGCGTATACTTGCCTTTCGATTAGTCTACAATATTTCTTGCTGTCAATGGCATCCATGGAAATCCTTGAATACACCGAAATGGTCCAATACCCTAATGTAGGCCAAGAATCTCCTGAGACAGTGACCATCTACACGGGATTACAGGGCGTCGCAATGAATAATCCAAGCTTGGCAACATCGCCCACTGGTCAACAAATTGTGATTGGATAYGACGATTTTTGTGCATTTTCAAACGATGGATTGGAACGATACCTAGACCCTACAAAGGATTGTAGTTCTTGTGCTAGTACCTTTTTTTCGATGAATGCCGTTCTGTCCATTCTGATTTCGGTGGCAACCTTTTTCCCGACCTTCTTTTCTCAACAACTAAGAATGTAYTCGGGATACGATATCAATTGCGTGAAAAATTTCTTGACGATACTAGGATTGGTCACTATTTTCCTGAATCTCAATGTCATGCTTACCTACTTTTATCTGTGCAGCAAAGAATCGTTTTACCGGGATGGTACCATATTTTTCAACGAGGAAGGTATCGCGTCTTCCGTTGCCCCTGCAGACGGGTTCTACTGGAGAGTTGAATATCAATGGAAATGGGGATGGGGATTGRTCTTTTTGGTGGCCGGAACAGCGCTTAAATTAATTGACCTTTTGTGTAATCTTGCCGTCCCGACACCGAGCGTAACGCGAGATCGAAAGGAACAAGACATATACGAGACGATTGTTTTTGCGTCTCCTGCCGACGATACCGATGATGACGAAATCAATCAAAATGATGCCGATCCAATCTAGATTAGGCGGTCCCGAATTTCCAAAATGCTGGCCCAACACWTGAAGACAAAGAATACRRAACATTTGCACAGAACGTCTTCGAGCAAGCTAGTTTTTAAAACGTGAGGTTGAGTACAATTCAAGTATTCAGAAATAATGGAAGWCATGTAACTTTCAAGAAAAATCGATGATCACAAGGATGGATAAAATGATGTCGAAAAATTATCTCATTCATCGAATTACAAGTGAGATAAAGYATTATATGTAGAAAGAACTCATAAGGTGGAAAATCTAAAATGCAATAGTACCAATATATTTTGTTCCACTTCAATGATCCAATTCATTTACTTGTCTTTTAGCGTCATTGCTGCATCCACCAACGCGCTCTTGAGTAAGCCTTCGGTCGGTACCCCCTTTGATGCCAAAAACTTCCGGAGTGCAGATACTGTTTTTCTTTTGATCGCYGTCTTCGTCATTACAGAGAGATCCCATTCGTCGATGACCTCCTCAGTCAATGGGATACCTTTGCGATCATTCCTGTTGTCGGTGCGGTTGCCACCTGGTTTGGCATTCGATTGCCGGCGTGTGGAATGGGTAAGATAATGATCGTTGATGCAGTTCATTCGATTCAATCCCAGAGTCTTGGCAATCGAAATCAGTTTTTGTGCCTCCCAGGGCCAGCACAGTGTGATACACTCCCCGTATGCGTTTTGTCGCGCCGTGCGACCTGCAAGATGTGCATAGGCTGCGGCATTGGACGGAACCCCCATCAGRAACACAGTTCGGATTTCTGGAAGATCTAACCCTCGTGCCAATCGTTCCTTGACGACATAGACAGGAGCGCAACTCCAGGATGAATAGGGCAAGGAGTCGAATGCATCCATCTCCTCACGGAGGTCGGATAGCCCGCGGATGTCTTGAAACCCAGCATTCGCTAGAGATTCTCGGATGGCCTCAACACCGATCGCACCGGGAAAGACGAGGGATGGCGAGGGTTCCTCTTTGCTTCGAAGGGTGGTTAYAAGTGCTTCTACCATTGCGTTTGTTTTTATTGTTGATGACGTGATATTGCTGCTGGTGCCTGAATCCAATTKTTTTATGTTGCCTTCTTTCTTTGGCGGCTGCAACATGATTCCGTACGAGTGTTTCAGATTCGATGGAAGCAAAGAGGCCTTTCGCAATTTTTCATCCTTTTTGGTGCGAACGTCAGCTGTAATGAGCGTCGCTGCTTTGTCCGTGCTCGGTGCCTTCACAATGTACATGAGTTGCTTCCGCAGAGCTCTGCCGATCGTTGCCGATGCGCACACAATCTGCAATGAAGTCTTTGGTGACGAAGCTTGCGGCAAAGAATACCGTTGACTGTTTCTTCGATTTCGTCCGTAGGATGTTGGTGGACGACTTTTGGCAGTTTTTTCCCAAACTAAYRCTTCGAGCAGCTCTTGGGCTAGTGGTTTCGTTGTTTTGTGCTCWCGCCGTGCGTCGGCGGTAGTGGTTTGTAAGAGCCGGTCTACCTCATCTAGAATCAAGGTCTGGATGTTAGCTCGGAGTGCCAGGGCGACCGCTCGATACAGGAGTTGTTCCTGATTGGTATTTTCATTTCTTTCGTTTGTGTTTGTGTCCATGGGTGGCTGAACGGTTCCTTCCTTGGCTTCTCGTCTTTGCCTCGCCTTTCGTTGGGCGGCATATCGCGTGTTGCTTTGTAGTTTAGAAGTTGTCATGACCACTTTTTGAATTTCTTTGCGCAACTGCAGAAAGAGTTTTGGTGTCCCCGCCAAGAATGTTGGTTCCGTATAGCGATTGCTTCCRACAGAAGGATCGTTTTTATCACAAGTAATTTTATTGACGCTGTAATATCGTTGTACAATATCCGCCAATATCGGGTACGAGACTGATAATGGTAACGGAGACGACGACTCTTCTTTGCGAGTTAGTTTTAATTTACCAACAGCCATTGATCGGTTATATTCTACAACGTGGAGAACATTACTGCTGCTGCTCTTCCGGTTGTCGTTGATGCTACTGCCAAGAATCACGTGGTCTACGGTCCGCTGTAGTTGATAAGCAAGCTCCATTGTCGGCGTCATAATCCATATAGTTCCAAGCGCATTCGTTACTGACGCAGCTGGCYTTTTGTTTTTGCGGCCCGTGGTCGTCCTTGAGGTCAAAAAAGGTAATAAATATGCCAGCGACTTCCCGCTCCCTGTGGCCGCCGCAATAACGGCGTTCCCGTTGACACTGGTCTGGTTCTTCTTGGTGGAAAGGCAATTATATGCTGCAATTTGAATAGGTGTAGGCTCCGAGTAGCCCGCGGCGACCAAACGTGATTTCCAGAATGGACCTATCGATAATTTGCCGCCCCACAAAAAAGGTTTGTCGTCTCTGAGATTTCCGGTTTCATTTTCGCCTTCACTTGGTTTCTCTTTTGTACCGAAGCTGGCCTTTGTCTTAGAGGGAGGATTCAAGGATAARTTTGTAGTCCTTGATTCGTCGTTGCCGCTYGTCGTTCCATCGATGGAACGAAGGAGTGCCCGAGCTGTTTCGTACGAGATRTTCTTGTCCATGTTGCCCAYCTCCATTTTGTTCTTGCTGCTGACGTAAAGATCGTCTCCYTCCCTTTCCCATTTTGGTGGCTTTGGCCCCCGGGACGAGACCTTTATACCTGCCTTTCGTTTTTCGTACCAGCTCTTGTTTCCACCACCGGATGTCACGCGATTTTTGTTTTTGCGTCGTGGCGATTGTTTTCCATGCTGGTTTTTACTGTCMTTGTTGYTTCCMCTGTGGCTTGGAGGCGAGGATCGAGTGGAAAGCCCTGCCACCCCCTTCACAAAAATTGGATAAGCATCGGTGTGTGGATAAAGAAAGGATATGAAGCACGCTGCGGTCCAGAAAATGAGTATCCAATGAAACGCCGTTCTCGTCGTCGTCGTCATCCACCGAAGCGACCCTGATTTGTGACGGTAAGGAACCAGATATACTAGACTCTTTGTTGCCTTCATTGATATTTGTAAAATTGAATATTCCCTTTTCAATGACGCAGGAGATTGCTCATCAATTCMACCTTTTACCTTCGAAATAAACTTRTTTGMTTCGTAGTTWTTCTCATGCGTCGCACTTTCCTTCCTGTTTTCCTTCCTGTGATTTCATTTCATTGACGTGCAACAACAAAAATCAACAACATCATCTCCGTCCGAACAAGCATGAACGACGATGGRCGATTGATTGAGATCGAGTCGTATCCCAACGGTTGGTGATGGGGAATGTGATYCATCTGGGCCCTGATTTCCGATTTCCGATACTATTCCACGTGTAAGATATTTTAATTTGTCTGAAAGGGGTGGGGGGACCGACGGATGGACGTTCTTTTAGCAAGTGGGACTACAATTTATTGTTAACCGTCCAAAACCGCTTCTTCCATTCTTGCTATTGATTTTCGGGATTATCCTCCGAGCCTATGTACCGTATGGGTCATGGGAAAACTTAAAAGTGATTTCCCGCCACGTATTTACCTAACTCTGATGAACGGTAGTACCCGTACCGGTACACAACCTACTCAAGGTAATTCAACCCCAATTTCTGATACCGGTACGACTTACCTACCGGTAGGAACACGAGTTGCAATAAATCATTGATCTCGTGCCAATGAAATGTATTCATTTCCTTCGTGGAAGATACCCCCACCAACTATCTATCTGTACTGAACGAAAAAATTAGAAGTAGAYGATAGCGTTGTTCGAAGTATGGTGGTACGAACCATTTGAGAAATAAATCGTACAGTGCTAGGCCTCATGAAATTCTGTACAATTAGTCTGTGGTAACAAACACTGAAACGGCCCGGCGATACTGATAATACCGGTACGACCCATCATTACGTGAATAGTACGCACAGAATACTTCGAGCCCGTGAAAACTTCACATTCTGATCGTCAGTCAATCAGTCAATCAGTCAATCAAGCAATCAATCAATCGGTCAGTCAATCAGTCGACCCGGAAGTTTCTCACTCACTAATGAAATAATCATTACCCAAACAATCAATACAAAATCCGAGATAACCAAGGCAAAACAGATATAATTGAACCCAAAACAATCCGATTTGAACCATGCAGTGCCTCCGACACTTTGTCGACCTCACAATCGTCACTATTATATGCTCATCTGTGTTTTATGCATCGTTTGCTAGGACGATCCGATTAGCAAGGATGAGCGAGCATACCAAAACAGCCATATCGATCCCTAACTCGACGATCCTTGACCACGGCATCGTAAACAACAGTAATAACAAGAACATCAGTGTCCAACCT